GAGACCTTGGTCTTGTTGGACCTGCGAATTTTCACCTTCTTTCTCAACCTCAGTCATCATAACTGCGACTTTGTTGATATTTTTCAATTCATTGTTTCCAATATTCGTTGAAACAAACGAGATAGAATCATCTTGTTCGTATAAAGGATTATCAACCCCCACAACATTACTCATAGTTGAAGCATCTGACTGCGATGCTTTGTTTTGAGCTTGACGGGTTATGGACGTTGTTACAGGCCCTTTTCTTATTCCCTCCATAGATAGTTCAACCAAAGTAGAAATATTTGCCAAGGGTTGCTTACCCTCCTCCACCTTAGATTTTCCAACAAAGACAGGACTTTCAATTTGTTTTGGGGGTTCATCTTTCGAGAGAGCCCTTTCAATAGCTCCTATAACATTTGTTGCCACTGTTCTTAGTTCCAGTTTCTTTAAGGCCTTATTTCTTCTTCGCCTTTGTCTTTTCAAAATTGGACCGGATGACATATCAAGTCGAGCCCCTAAGGACATAAAAGGAACCGTTTGTGCCTTTGTAAATTCCTCATGAATTTTCAAAACAATCCCTACGTTTTTAGAGCGGGTCAATTGATGTTGATTCAAATCCCGTTGGGCCAACACGTGTTCCTTATTCGAACCTTGTCGGGCCAACGGGTGTTCTTTATTCTGTCGGGCCAACGGGTGTTTCTCATTCGAACCCTGTCGAGCCAACGAGTGTTCCTTATTCTGTTGGGCCAACGGGTGTTCATTCTTTGAACCCTGTCGAGCCAACGGGTGTTCCTTATTCAAACCTTGTCGAGCCAACGAGTGTTTCCTTTGGCTCCTGAGAGTTGACTGAGATTTGGTTTGACCAATTTTGTGCTCTGAACAGAACTATCGGTTCGTAGGCAGCAACTGTTTTTTTCAACAACAGGGGCCTTTTTTCCATCAACGGAGTTTGGGTCATCACCCTCCTCCCAATGGCCCTAATGATGGCCATGTTTTTAACAGAAGCTTTCTTCTGGGTAGACTCCACCATTTTAATGGAGTCTTCTACCCTTTTGAGTAGTTGGGCCACAACATTTTTTGTTGCCCCCGTTGAAGCTGCAACAAAAGTCGCAGTTGCAAACTGCTTAGCCTCCTTTGCCTGAATTAGAAAGTTCTTCGTTCGGGCTGTGGCCCTCACAATTGCGTACTGCTTTGACGCTTTCACATAATCTTCAGTAATCTTTCTCAAACTTCTAGCTTTCTGGAGAAGTGTGACTTTCTTCGTCACACCAGTTACCTTCGGGACAGCCAAGAGCTTTCGCTCCGAAGCCCCTTAGGTGGCAGGGCAAGGAAGTGCATCTTTCCAGGATTTTGTTGGCTCTACCTTTGGGACAGCCAAGAGCATTCGCTCCGGAGCCCCTTGGGTGATGGGTGTTATCTCCAACCTTGGTGATTTCAGAACCACTGGAGTGTAGGTTTGTCTCCTAACAGTTGCTTCAGCATTCCTATAACAAAAGAATACGTCAGTAAGTTTCAACTATATATATATATATATATATTTTTGTTCTTCAAAAGATGGGAGGAGAAATAATGTCCCACTGGGCGTGCCAGAATTTGTAGACACAAATTTTAAAACATGAAGTGTTTCAACACATTTCAAAATTTTATGTTACAAATGTCCACTATTTAGTTTTTTGACTAAACAGTGTTGATTATTTGAATAGCAGGTTCTCATTTCCGATCTGTATTTTAGATCGTTAATTACACATTTTATACAAATGAAACCTCCGATTAATGAAGAACAAAATAAACAACAAAATACAATTTTAAAAAAAGAAATATTTTATTGAAATTATTATGGGCTTTGAACCCTCGAATACAAAAATACAATTCTTGGGTTTGGAACCCTTTACCTATTCATCGCCATTAGCGTAGACTCTTCAGTTTTCTAGGCTTCTCTTCTTCTTCTTTTTTTGTAGCGACTTCTTTAGCTCTCAATTTCTTTCTCTCTCTCTCTGATCTTTTCCCTTTTGATTTTCTCATCATCTTTTTCTTTGACTTTCTTTACTTGTCTCCTCACCATATGATCAATCATGGCCATGAGCAATGGATTCATACCACCACTTGTTAGATCGGAGTAACAAGGACCATTGCCCCCTGGGGCTAGTGTGCTTTGTATGCCTACGGATGTCCCCACAACAGGTTGTGTCATTTGTTTGGGTGCACTTCCTGGTCCTGTTATTTGGGCCTGTAACTGTTGCATTTGCTCCAACATAGCAGCCATTTCCCGTTCTCTTCTCTCAAGTTGTTCTTGTAGGGCCACCACTTTTTCCTTGAGACCTTGGTCTTGTTAGACTTGCGAATTTTCACCTTCTTTCTCAACCTCAATCATCATAACTGCGACTTTGTTGATATCTTTCAATTCATTGTTTCCAATATCTGTTGAAACAAACGAGATAGAATCATCTTGTTCATATAAAGGATTATCAACCCCCACAACATTACTCATATTTGAAGCATCTGACTGCGATGCTTTGTTTTGAGCCTCACGGGTTATGGACCTTGTTACAGGCCCTTTTCTTATTCCCTCCATAGATAGTTCAATCAAAGTAGAAATATTTCCCAAGGGTTGCTTACCCTCCTCCACATTTGACTTTCCAAAAAAGACAGGACTTTCAATTTGTTTTTGGGGTTCATCTTTCGAGAGAGCCCTTTCAATAGCACCTATAACATTTATTGCCACTGTTCTTAGTTCCAATTTCTTTAAGGCCTTATTTCTTCTTCGCCTTTGTCTTTTCGAAACTGGACCGAATGGCATATCAAGTTGAGCCCCCAGGGGCATAGAAGGAACCGTTTGCGTTTTTGCAAACTCATGAATTTTCAAAACAGTCCCTACATTTTTAGAGTGGACCAATTGATGTTGATTCAAATCCCGTTAGGCCAACAGGTGTTTGTTATTCGAACCTTGTCGGGCCAACGGGTGTTCCTTATTCTGTCGGGCCAACGGGTGTTTCTCATTCGAACCCTGTCGAGCCAACGAGTGTTTCTTATTCTGTTGGGCCAACAGGTGTTCCTTATTTAAATCCTGTCGAGCCAACGGGTGTTCCTTACCTTATCGAGCCAACGAGTGTTCCTTTGGCTCCTGAGAGTTGACTGAGATTTGGTTTGACCGATTTTGTGCTCTGAACAGAACTATCGGTTCGTAGGCAGCAACTGTTTTTTCAACAACAGGGGCCTTTTTTCCATCAACAGGAGTTTGGGTCATTACCCTCCTCCCAATGGCCCTAATGATGGCCATGTTTTCAACAGAAGCTTTCTTCTGGGCAGACTCCACCATTTTAATAGAGTCTTCTACCCTTTTGAGTAGTTGGGCCACAACATTTTTTGTTGCCCCCGTTGAAGCTGTAACAAAAGTTGCAATTGCAAACTGATTAGCCTCCTTTGCCTGAATTAGAAAGTTCTTCGTTCGGGCTGTGGCCCTCACAATTGCGTACTGCTTTGACGTTTTCACATAATCTTCAGTAATCTTTCTCAAACTTTTAGCTTTCTGGAGAAGTGTGACTTTCTTCGTCACACCAGTTACCTTCAGGACAGCCAAGAGCTTTCGCTCCGGAGCCCCTTGGGTGGCAGGGCAAAGAAATGCATCTTTCCAGGATTTCGTTGGCTCTACCTTTGGGACAGCCAAGAGCATTCGCTCCGGAGCCCCTTGGGTAATGGGTGTTATCTCCAACCTTGGTGATTTCAGAACCACTGAAGTGTAGGTTTGTCTCCTAACAGTTGCTTCAGCATTCCTATAACAAAAGAATACGTCAGTAAGTTTCAACTATATATATATATATATTTTTTTTTTTTTGTTCTTCAAAAGATGGGAGGAGAAATAATGTCCCACTGGGCGTGCCAGAATTTGTAAACACAAATTTTAAAACATGAAGTGTTTCAACACATTTCAAAATTTTATGTTACAAATGTCCACTGTTTAGTTTTTTGACTAAACAGTGTCGATTATTTGAATAGCAGGTTCTTATTTTCGATCTGTATTTCAGATCGTTAATTACACATTTTATACAAATAAAACCTTCGATTAATGAAAAAAACAAAATAAACAACAAAAGACAATTTAAAAAAAAAAGAAATATTTTATTGAGATTGTTATGGGTTTTGAACCCTCGAATACAAAATACAGTTTGGGTTTGGAACCCTTTACCTATTCATCGCCATTAGCGTAGGCTCTTGAGTTCTCTAGGCCTACCTTCTTCTTTCTTGTAACGATTTGTTTAGCTCTCAATTTCTTTTCTCTCTCTCTCTGATCTTTTCACTTCTGATTCTCTCTCCTCTCCCGTCTTGTGTGATGGTCCTCATATTTATAGAGGGCCATCAGGTGATAGGAATGCTTCATCTTCAATTTGAATTTCAAATTGAATGATATTTGAATTTCAAATTGAATGATAGCGCCATTTAAATTTTGAATAATAGCGCTATCTGATTAATCGTATATCTGATTAACCGAATTGATCTTTGGGGTTTCATCCTGTGTGGTGTCTTTGCTGCAGGCTCTACAGGTGTCATCTTTCGTAGGTTCCACGTGTCATTTGAGCATCTTGAATAACGTCGTTAAGATACGACGTTGTTTTATTTATACACTTCAACAGAGCAAGTTAATCATTTTGGGAAGTGATTGCCTACAATAATCTTATCGTAGGCTCTATGTGTGTCATTGACTGTATTTGAAATTTAAACTTAAATTTGGTTTGAAATTTATGTGCCAACACTGCCTGACATAATTAAGTCGAGTGTCAAAAGCTCAGAATTCAGTTTCAAGTTATGATAATAACAAAAAAATTAGAAACAGTCCTACCCATGCCTTGATAACATGAAATCTAAAGAAACTGAAAGCAGATGTGACTTAATCTAACCCTCTTTCATCTTTTTTCTTTGTTTAGAACTTTAATCTTTGCTGATTTTCAATATTTCTTGCACACATACAAAAAAAAAAAAGAAGCTTCTGAGTTGGAATGACCATGAAGAGATGCTATGGTTACCTTCTCCTCACCCAGTGATGGGTTATGGGTTATGTGAGAAAGGGAGACTCGGTCAGAGTACATGGATCTCATTCCATTGTTGGTTGCAGGGCTTATTCCAGATCCAATAGAAGCCATTGAAGTCACTTTACCTTCACAATCATACCTATATGCAAAATGACTATGATTTTCCGTAGCTTATTAAAATAAACTTAAGTCACTAAAGGCACAAAGACTTACCAGGATCTCAACTTTCTCGATTCTGCTGTGTCTGGATTTACCACTACAATGCTCTTGCTCAAAGCCGACAAAGATACACCTGCAACAACAAAAACATCACATATTATTAAACTAAATAATTATTTACTTACAAATTTGTTACCTGTCAAGACATTCTAGATTACCTTGGAAGTCGCCAACTTTTAGTGATTTAATTGCAGCTATAGGAAACTTATCAGAAATATCCAGCAGTTCTTGTCCTATATTTGTCACAAGATCATTCCATAGAGACACCTGTGAGAATATGCCTATATTCTTTTTTCCTTTTAGGATTAGGAAGTAGAGTTCTATATCTATCAAAATTCTATATCAGTGATGTATTCATTTAGGATTAGGAATTAGTGTTAGTGATGTATTCGTTTAGGATTAGGAATCAGTATTCTATATAAGTGATGCATTCTTTGTTTAATGAATTCGATCTAATATACAGTTTCATTCAGAAAACTTACATGGTATCAGGGCAGGGGCAGAGATAACTGGTGGAAGAGGAGCCTTGCGACGAGAATAAACTAACAACGGAGGAGGAGAAGAAGCCGAAGGAGGAGAAGCAGCCAAAGGTGAAGCAGGAGGAGAAGATAGAACAAGCGCAGGAGGAACTGTGGAGATGTACTTAGCAGATGGAACCTCAGAAGGAAATGGATCAATATGAATCAAATCCTCTTTGGAAACTGGAGTGAGGAGGGAAGCAAGCTGAAAGGAAGATAGACGTTCGAGAAAGGCAATAGTGGGAGACATAAAGGCGACAAGAAACAGGGTCATAACAGAGATAATCTTTCTGAGTGAGACTATAACCCAAAAAGACACATAAGACAGACCGGGCACTAAGTTTGGTCCTGTCTTTACAGGGTAAAAGGGCAAAACAAGCAGACCCAAACACACGAAGGATGGAGTAATTAGGAAGTTAAGAAAATAACGCCTCATAAGGAAACCGACCAGAAAGAAGGGAGAGGAACACCATCAGTAGTGTTGAGCTTCACATTAAGCTCAATGGGGGTATCAAAAAGCTTAGTGTCAGTAAGTCCGGCACAATGGATAACCTTATTGGCATACTTAGCCTGGGACAGAAAGTAACCTTTGAGAGAAAAAGCCACCTCAATACTAAGAAAATACCGCAATGGTCCCAGATATTTCATTTCGAAAGTGCGGAAGAGATGCTGCTTGACCTTACATGGTATCAGAGCCTCCGTCGAAACCCTAGAAGCCATTTACTATTTGTTGACTCTAAGTTGGCTGTAGTTCGTAGTTCTTCCCTTTGTTTCGTGACTAGTTCTCCCCTGCGACTGGGTCTCTATCGCCTTTGATCCGTGGTTCTGTGTGAGTCGTCTCTGGCGAATCTCTCTGCATCGTTGGATCGTGGTTCTTCTCTCTGGTTTGTGGCTGGTTCATCTCCTCTGATTCGTGACTCACTCTCTTGCGAGAGTCTACTCTTCTGGTTCGCTGTCTCTCTCTGTCTCACTGGTTCTCCGTAAGGCTTCGACATCGTCATCGAGCTCTCTGTTTATCTCTCTCTCTCTCTCTCTCTCTAGTATTGTTATTGGTATCTGAGTTCACCAGTATTTGACCCAGCTGTACTAACTTTAGGATTATTACAATTTGACCCCTCTCATTAAATTTATTTTATACTTGGACACCATAAACTTGCTTTATTACAATGTCGGATACTAAAATCCAAGCCATCAAATGCAAACTCACTAGTGGCAATTATGCCTATTGGACCAGTGTTATGAAGAATTTTATTCTTAGTCAGAAAAAATGGGGCTATATTTCTGGTTTTGTTTCTCGTCTATCGAACCCGAAGACAGAAGGGTATCTGACTTCCTGTGACACTTGAGATTGTGATAATGCCCAAGTTCTGACTTTGGTTTCATAAATGTGAGGAGTCATATAATGAGAGGCACTAGAATCAAAAAGCCAGCCAAAAGAATGGATACCTGAAGAGAACCCAAACAAACCTGAATGAAGAGAGGTAAGAGCGGAGGTCGAGAAGTACCCGAAGTAGGACTGCGGAACTGTGTCTGAGAAGATGGAGCAGGCTGACGTCCCTTCTTAGGATAGTTGTTCTTCTGATGACCCCTCTGGTGGCAGAAAGCACACTCATCTGGCCCTAATGGTCTTTTCTTGGATTTCGCAGTGACCTGAAACTGATGAGAAAGTGGGGTCGATAACAACGAAGGCTTGGCAGGAGCCAAGAAGACAGAAGGAGGCAAAGTCTGACTGGCCGTCTTAAGACGGGTTTCCTCGTAGAGGAGCTCACGAACAATAGCATCCACAGAGAGAAGAGGAGATCGGTGAGCCTCATACAGAGAGGAGAGAGCCGTTAAGAACTGCACTAAACGACCCTGCTCCTGAAACTCAAGATAAGCGTCAAGTATCTTGAGATTAGGTGGTTCCATAAGAGCCAATTGATCCCAGAGACCTGTCATCTCAATATAGAAGTCCTGAATAGTCTAATCCTGCTGACGAACACTCTAAATAGCTATTTCCAACTCATACCACTTGGAAAAGTTGGACTGCTGATAAACACCTAGCAAATAATCCCACACCTCATTGGCAATACTGTACTTGGAAAACATCATTCCAATACAGTCATCTTGCCTATGTTGTCCATGTGGTTAGTCAGTTTGTTTCTGCTCCTCGCTCTATACATTGGGCTGCTTTGCTTCGGATTCTTCACTGTCTTCGTAGTACTATCTTTCAAGGCTTGCTATTCTCATTTACTTCTTCCTTAGACTTGGTGGCCTATGTTGATGCTGATTGGGCTGATGATGTTAATGATCTTAAATCTACTTCTGGTTTCTGTATGTTTCTTGGCGATTCCCTGATTTCTTGAAAAAGCAAGAAACAAACTGTTGTTACCCGTTCTACTGCCGAAACTGAGTATTGTGCTATGACTCATGCTACTATTGAAATTATTTGGCTTCGTGGTCTCTTATCTAACTTGGGCGTCCCTCAGTCTTCCCCGACCTCTCTCTATTGTGACAACCTATGTAGCACGGACACAGACACGGGACACAACACGGACACGTAAAAACGCAAATTTTTAACAAATAGGAGACACGACACGCTGGGGACACGTTTAATATATATAATGTTTTATATATATTATATGTAAAATTAAAAAATATATACTATATTTATTTATTTATTATTATTTATTATATGTAAAATTAAAAAATATATACTATTTTTATTCATTTATTTTATTTATTATATGTAAAATTAAAAAATAAATATATTATTTGTATTTATTTATATTATTTATTTACCAAAAAAAAAAGTATAAAAAAGAAAAAAAGAATAAAAGAGGGAGTGACGGTAATAAAGGAAGAGGGGAGAAAAAGTGAAGAGTCAAACAAAAAAAATGGGAGAGAGAAAGAGGCGAGAACAGGGAGCGAGGAGATGGGAGACGAGAGGAAGAGGACTCAATCAGAGACGACGATCAGAGAACGAGAGGCGAGAACAGAGAGAGAGGAGATGAAGACGATGAGAGACGAACAGAGAGAGAGAGGAGACAAACAGAGACGCGAAAGAAATACCTCGATCAGAGACGAAGAGGCCTCGATCTAGGCTTCAACAGGTTCTTCCTCTTTCTCTCTTTCTCATTCTCATTCTCTTTCTCTCTCTCTCTCTCTCTCTCTCTCTCTCTCTCTCTCTATCTTCAATGGGTTAGGGTTTCTCTGTCTCCTGATTAGGGTTTATTTCTGTTTCCAACGTGTCCACGACGTGTCAAGCGTGTCTGAAAGAGTGTCCGCCTGCAAAAATTCAAAAAAAAAACAGGGACACGTTAGGTCGAGTGTCGGACACGTGTCTACCGCGTGTCCGTGTCCGACACGTGTTCGACACCCATATGCTGCCTCCAGAGACGTGTCCGTGCTTCATAGGTGACAACCGCAGTGCTACTCAAATTGCTCATAACTCTGTCTTTCATGAACGGACAAAGCACATTGAGATTGATTGTCACTTCGTTCATCAGCATCTGCAGTCCGGGTTTATCTCGCTTCCTTTTGTCTCTTCGACTCTGCAACTTGCTGACTTCTTCATCAAGATTTACACCACTACTCGATTTTGATTTTTCCTTGACAAACTCTCAATGTTTTCTGCTAAAGCACCTTGAGTTTGAGCGAGGGTGTGAGAATATGCCTATATTCCTTTTTCCTTTTAGGATTAAGAAGTAGAGTTCTACATCTATCAGAATTCTATATTAGTGATGTATTCGTTTAGGATTAGAAATTAGTGTTAGTGATGTATTCGTTTAGGATTAGAAATTAGTGTTAGTGATGTATTCGTTTAGGATTAGGAATCAGTATTCTATATAAGTGATGTATTCTTTGTTCAATGAATTCAATCTAATATACAGTTTCATTCAGAAAACTTACAACAGTCTTCTTCCTATAATATGCCATAGCTTCAATACAACATACAAGACAACAAAATGGGAAAACTTGGTAATTTGCATATATATATAAGCTCACGTTTCATCTGCAATAGTTATGTCATGCTTTGGAATAGTCTCGCTGTTAATTTTTCTTCGAATGCTCAACGTAGGAGATACATTTTGGACCATACCAATAACATCTGCAGTTCATAACAATGAAGGAATTATATTACAGAGAGGAAAGATAGAAATAAACCAAACAGTTGAAGGAATCAATCCTACCTACAAGCTCCTTTGAATTGACATATGGTCCCAATTGATCGATTGTAGGCCTGTAAATGGATCGCATTCGGATCGGATCTGTCAAAATCCGAATCCAATCCGATTAAGACAAATCTGAATCCATTTATCCCATATCCGATTATAGATATCCGAATTCGAATCCGATGATTTCCGATATCCGATCCGATAATCCGATCCGATCCGATCTATTTATTTATTTATTGAGCTACAATTTTATAAATTTGATTTGATTTTTTTTTTTTCATTTTGTGTTTTTTTCATTCAAATTGAGAATAATCAGATCGGATTATCGGATTTTTGTATATTCAATCCGTTTAATGAACAGATTAAACGGATTCGGATTATCGGATCGGATTTTTTGTAAACGGCTTTGGATTTTTGGATCAGATTCGGATTAACTCCAATCCATTGACACTCGATCAGGACAAAATTGAATTTTGTTTCAGGGATAAAAGTTGCTTCATCACTTGCTTCCTCCACCGCAGAATTTGCATTCAATGTCATTTCATAGTCATTCTGTACTGTCTTGAACTGCTTGCTAGCAACTTTCAGAGTTCCCTTTGATATGTAGTAAACCTTTCCCAACTGAAACTCGTCATAAAATTTCTTTGCAGCTTCATTAAACATCGTTGCTTGTATTTGTGTACCCTGCACCACAAACAATCAGTCTAATTCATCAGCATTCATATTTTTCATAAAATCATAGTTTATTGACACAAGTTACCATGATACAACAGAGGTTGCTGCAAGAAACATATTACATTTGTTTAAAAAATAGAAGCCCACATACATCTTCATCTGTCAACTCTACATTGAATACATAGCCTTCTCCTCCGGCATTTTTATAAGTTCGCATATTTCCTTTACCTGTAACTGCGACCTTTATGGTCCAATTTCCATGGTAAGGATTTAAAGAAACAAGTGGATGAACTCTTGTCATCGCCATTCTTGCAGAAGGTGCCATACTGAAATTCAGACAAATATACAACATTAAGGCCTCGTTTGGGAACAGACTAATTTCGTAACTTTTTGGCTATTTGGCTAAAAAAGTAGGTAAAAAAAACTTATATGTTTGGGGTAACTTTTTGACTAATTACGAAAAGATGTGCAAAAAGTAGAGAGAAAAGAGAATCTTTGACTTTTTGGTATGAGTTGTTGCTTTTTGGCTAAAAGGATAACTTTTTGACTTTTTGACTAAAAAGGTAAGGCCCCAAACGGGGCCCAATTCTCAAAACCCATAATCTCTCATGTTCGTTGTTGAAGAGCTTGATATCCATTGTTAGACCCATTCCATAATAGCTTAAGCTTTGAAGAAAACTGGTGACTCAACACTCACAGATAAATTAACAAAACAAAAACACACTGGTAGCCAAGTGAAATTATGCAAAAACAAAATTTCAATGACTCATTTTTAGAAGAATTACAATCAAATAAATGTCTAAATACAATTAGTGTATCAGATAGTATAAATGTACATGAGAATAGATAATAATACATACTTCCCATTCTGTTCGAGTACTATCTGAGCTACTGATCTAGCAACCAATTCCTGCTTTGGCTTCAAAATAATACGAATCTCTACACTTTTTACCGCACTCTTTAGGTCCATTCCTTGTTTTGCTTTCAGTATAATACCAGATTCTTCACTTATGCCCTCAGCCTTGAGCTCTGCTTCAAGAGCAGGAGATACCACCTCACATTTAATGACGATCAAAAACCTAAAATCAGTTGAAAGATACTCTAGGTTAGCTTCAAAACCCACAAATTGACAATACTAGAGTATATGATTTTTGTTCTCACTTCTCATTCTTTGTTGGGATGTCGTTGACTGCATAATCAAGAATGCGAATGAGACCCAAGTTCTGAATATTTCCTGACATGACTTCAGATGATAAACTAGATTGTAAGAGTGATTTGAGCTTCATCTTCCCATCACTCGCCGTAAACCTGATAGCAACCAATTTGTTTGAGAAAATATCATGATGTAGACTAACTTTAAATTTGACATATATACAGAGGTAAGGTCCGGGTTTGGTAGATCAAAACTCATAGGGCCCATGGCCCAACAAGATTGAGGTCCACCGCTAGTGGCCCAAAGGCCAAGGTATGCACCCAAAACCCTAAACTCTCCATCTCTAGTCTCGGTCTATTTTCTCTCTACATGTCTACACTACTAACTTAGGCATCGGAGGGTCTTTGGCGGGCAACACTTCAATGCCACAAAGACTCACACTATGTTTGGGAACTTAGGAGAGAAAAGAAAATAAATGATTACTTAAGTTATAAAAGAGAAGAAAAGAAAAGAAATGATTGTGATGTAAGAAATAAAGAAAAAGAAATAATTGTTATTTCTCTCTTTTTGGTTAGATTTCATAAGAAAAAAAGAAAAGAAGTTGTTTTATATTATATTATCAAAATAATCTTTTTATATTTTGTCAATCATTTTATTTTTTTTATTTTTACAAAAATAAAATTAGTATTATGAAAATATAAGAATCTGTTGGTTTTTTCTCTCCCAATCTTTCCACTTTTGAAAAGATTGAAAATGAGAGTTATAAAAGAAATGAGTTTCTCTCTATTTCTCCCCATTTCTCTCCACTTAAATTATCCAAGTAAGAGAAATACATATCTCTCCATTTCTTTTCTTTTCTCTCCAAATCACTCAATCCAAACATAGCTTGTCTTCCCTTGCAGGTCATCGAATCGGATCAGGACCATACAAATCTGATTATCATCAAATTTTGCATTCAAAATGCTTGGATTTAAAAGTACCCTTGTGAAAAATAAAATCTATTAGCAACTCCAGATCAAAGAATTTGCGGTAAGCTAAATCATGATAGAGAGAGAGAGAGGGGGGGGGGGAACTGAAATCCTAAATTGAAAACCGCAACCCTACCACAACCCTAAAAATTATAATTCTCAACATTTTGAGAGAATTTAAGCGGTGGATAAAAAATTAGACCGTTCAGATCAAGTAACACGATACTCAATTCATTACATTTTCATCGCAAATTAGACGATTATTCGATTAACCCAACTTGGCTCAAATACGACAAACGGTTAGTTAGATTGAGTTTCAAATTTCGAAAATCCCATTTTTTTTCTTTTCTCAGCAACCAAACAAAACAAATGGACGCTAAAATGAAGGAAAATTTACCAATTGACTAAAACCCATCTCTCATTAGGCAACTACAACACTGATTTTCAACAAATTAGAGAGAGAGAGAGAGAGAGATCACATGTATTTGCTTCCAGTAGACTTCAGATCCAGAACCTGGACCACGATCTCTGGGACTTGGGATGATGACTCCGGAGATGGGTTTGCCAGTAGGCTTGAAATCGCATCTTGGGTTGTCGAGTTCGCCATCCCTCTCTCTCTCGAATGGAATGGAATGGAATGGTTTATGGAGAGAGAAACAACTGAGATGGGTGAGGGAGTTTTGAATCGGCGATTTTACGGCGCGAAATTTGTTCCAGAACGGTGGGTCTATTGCCAGATAATATTTTGCTTTTGTTAGGTACAGTATAGCTAATGTGTGCTTCCAAAAGTTGTACCCTGCATTGACAACATACAAAATTGTTCCATCAGTGCATCTCCAATGTTTTTTTTTATTATTATTAAATTTGAATAAAAGTTTTATTTGATATCAAATATTTTAACGGAAAATTTTTACTTTCATCAAAACACCGGTTAATTCAACGAATGTCTGGCTAGTTGACTAACTAATATAATTTTTTCATAAATTTTTGTGAAGAGGTGATCATTCGAGGATATCTGGTCGGTTGTCATATAATAAAAATTTAATGACTATGAACAGTTGATGAATGGCACATTCATCCTTAATTTGATGAAATATTTAAGAAATTATAGATTTAATAAAATATTTGGTGCTGGGATAGAACAGCAAAAAGTAAAAAAAATTATCAAATTTAAATTTGAGAGTACTTTTGATGTTAGGTTCGAGATGGTCTAAGAGCAACAAATAATTTCAGGGTTTGTTTGGCGGCAAATTTTTAACTATTCTCAATGTTTAATTAAAGAAAGGACATTTAGCCTCCGTTTAGGAAGGGGATTGGCTTTTTGGCTTTTTTGGCTATATGAGCCTGGGACTCAAAAGCCTGGTTTGGGAAGGACTTTTTGACTTTTTTGACTTTTTGATTTTTTGGTGAGGTGTCATCCTGTTAAATTACCAAACTACCCTTTTTGCCTTTTTTTATTTTTTATTTTAGGTTTGGATTTCCCATATTTTGCTTTATTTATTTATTTATTTCTTCATTTTAATTTTGGGTTTGGATGTGGTGTTTTTTGCTTAATTGTTTTTTTTAATTTTTTTTATTTTGGGTTTCGATTTGCCGTATTTTGCTTTTCTTAATTTTTTTTTTTTTGGGTTTGGATTTGGTGTATTTTTCGAACCATTTTTTTTTTTATTTTGGAAGTGGATTTGGCGTCTTTTGCTTTCATTGTTTTTTTTTTTGTTTTAATTTTTTTATTTTGGGTTTCGATTTGGCGTATTTTGCTAAAATTTTTTTATTTTTTTAAATTTATGTTTTTGTCTTTGTTTTTTTCTTTTTACATGAATTAGTTCTTTTCCTTTATTTTTATTGGTATAGAAGCACTTGTTTTTGTTATTTATGTGTTTCATTTTTTTGTAAATTACGTGGCGAATGATGATTTATGTTTTCATGTTATTTTTTTTAAATGTTTTTGAATGAGGCGTATTTTTTTCGTTTTTTTTTAAAAAAAATTACGATTTTGTCATTTTCTTATTCACTCACATTTTTTATTTTACATTTTTAAAAAATGGATTAAGCATTTCCGATCTTGTGTATTTTGGTTTTTCAGAGTGCGGCACGTCACCAACTGGAATGGGGTATATCCCCGTGTACACACATACATATTGTACATGATAATATATTTCAATACAGTCTGTTCCACGTGTGTCATTAGTAATGTTACAACCCTACGGACATTAGGTCGACTATTATATATTTCCTAACATCCCGTTATTACGCATGTAACATAATTTGTCGCGTATGTGAAGGCGCACCAATGCCATATGTGGGTCCTCATCCCCAACCATTAAACCATCCTCGTCATGTTCAACTTCTGGTATGACATTTACTATTGTCATAGCCTCTTCCTCGTCACAGATTGGGTGAACAGTTGTTGGGTTACCTGTGTTGCGCCGTATATAATTATGTAATGCCATTGACGCACCTACTAACTGAACTTGCACATTTGCAAAGTCATACCGAGGCATGTCTCGAATAAACCCCCATCGATTTTTCCAGGCACCGAAGGTGCGTTCCACCACACTGCGTAAGGACGAGTGCACTTTGTTAAATAACTCCCTTGGCGTGTTTGCCGTCCTGTTCCATGCAATACGTCGAAATTCTTGTTGGTGGTAACGGTGGCCTTTGAATGGTGCTAAGTACCCCGTCCGGTTTGGATAACCAGAATCGACAAGATAATATTTGCCTGCAGACATGACAACAATGTATGACACCTAAAATTTGTACAGAGAACCCCCTAAATCCACAAACATCGGCATGTGTTACCTTCGTCAGGATGTGGGAATGGGACATTGTCATTAGTTAGTATCTCGTTGAATATACGACTATCATGCATACTTCCTTCACATCCGCATGAAATGAATATGAAACACATGTCAAAATCGACTGCGGCCATGATATTTTGCGTGTGACAGTATTTCCTACCGAAATATGTTGCTGCATCTGGCCCAGTAACCCATTCACTTACATGTGTTCCGTCTATTGCGCCAATGCAGTCCTGCAAAAAACCCAATTCTTTTGTTGCTTAAAAAAATATAGCGTGTTTTGTTTTTTCCATATGTCACGTCCAGTTAGTAATAAAAACAAAATAACAGACACTCTTCATGTATATATGAAGAATGGATTTCGGTAGTACCTTGAACGGTAGGTATTTCCGTCTAGACCGCACGTATGGATGTATACGATGCTGATTGTATGTGGGCCGGCAATAAACAACAGTGAACTGCTTCATGGAAGTTAATACGTTATGCACGTGCCGAGACACAGTCTCCCCCGAATGTTGGAACCGTTCTTGGATTTCCCGATTTTGCTTCCCTTTTAACACATGGATAAACATTGCAACGCTTTCTTCAACAGCTAAACCATGCGGACGTTGCGGGACTTGTAACCCAAAATCATTTACTAATGTTTCACACAGGGCGACAAAAAATTCCTTCGGCATGGACACGTTTTCCTCAAATCGGCCCATATGGCCAGCATATAGTTCGGATATCCATGCATTCCCGGTCAGTATAGAAGTGCGACATGGCATTTTAGCCATGTGTTTTTGGTACCACTCTGTCGCATACTGGCATGCTTGTAGAAATGTGCAGTTGTGTTCTTGTTGCACCTGGACTGCCATTTGATTAAGCATTTCCATTATTCCGTCGTTGTCACTTCCATCCCAGGGATTCATTACATCTTCGTTGATGCGAAACCTACAAGAGTGGCACTGTTTCAATCAGTTCGCTTCCCCTTCATCGAGTCAATTAATTTCAAAATTTGCAATACTAAAAATTCAATATGTTCACAACCCAATTTACGACTGCCGTCACAAATGTATTTTTTAACGCATGATGATATGAAAAATCAGAAAATTGTGAACCTGCTAAACTTTTGTGATACAGGGCGACCATGGTGGTGACAACCACAAAAGTTGAACAGAAGATATGAAACTAACATCGTACTTTGGAAAATATAAACATACACAAAGCTAGCAAGGAAATCTGTTCTACCCACTTTGAACAGAAGCATCCCATTCATGTCTCACAAAGCGTGCACACACAACCATCCTATTTCATAACAGCATCCCAGTCATGTCCCATTCATATCCATACCTAAAAGTTTTGGAAACCATACGTCGCAAGAAAAAACATAAACAAAGGAAACATAAAAAAAAATGCACACACAACCATCCTATTTTAATACAGTGCCAACAAAAAACATAAGTAAAAGTTTATAGAATGCAAGAGAAGGAAAGGCATATTCAACACTCGTAATAGCGCTACATCACATCTGGCGAGGCCCGAACAGATTTGCAAAAGGGGCCGACGTAGTGCACTAGAAATGCTTCTGGGTAAGCCACCCTATGATAGAGTCGTCATCAAGTTGGCACATCATCACCTCCCGTAAATCGGCGTTATCCATAAGTGATGTGGCGAAGTGGAATAAGGGCGTACCAACCAACGATGTAATACCTGTCAGGCTATGCATGCACTCTGAAATAGTAAAAAACGATTCGTTGCCTGTGACGTGCCTCACTGTAACCTGCTGATTCTTTGTACGCACCACATCTGTCAGAGTGTTCATGCTTTCCGCAATAACTGACGCTCCACTTGTTGCCTTCTTGGACTTTGAAACACTGCTTGATGGCGTCTTTCTCTTTTTCCCTTTTTCGATCGGAACATGCTCCAGTGAAGAATCTGAATCCACGTCCTGCACTCCTGCGGGTATCAGATCAGCAAATGGCTGGGCCCCCAAACTGTGCACTGAATCAGATGAGTCCTCAGTAACTTCAGGAAGTTCCTCGCCCGGGGTCCAATGGTGCTTCCCAGTAGCTGATGCCCCCATGAAGACGGTCTCCATCAAGTCACGATGTTCCAAGGTTTTTTTCCTAAACTTGGCACACACCTTATTTATCTGTTCAAATAGAGATATATGAAAGAGAATGATGGTACATTTCATATAATTAATAAAAATTTAACTACAAAACTTAAAAATGTACTGGTAAATGACACATATGAAATATAAGAGTACATGTACTTACCGATTCCATTTTGTCCCACCACTCCTCAGGTGCCTGAAACATACCGGTGTCACAGTCAAACCCTATCCCTGGCACTCCTTTGCTTGAATCCATCAACTTTGTCCACGCTTGCCACTCTTTTTTCAAACGCATGTACTTATTCTTCAACTGTTTGAGTGCATGTTTTCTTCCTGTTTTTCTCTCAAATTTTCTTGCCAAGGACTTGTACCCTACTTGGCTGAGGACTAGGAATGGGCGATTGCCTTTAGTTATCTCATTCGCAATCAATTGCAGGAAAACTCGGGTTGAGGCACTGTCCCATGTGGCCTTGTGGCTTAAATGATTGTGTGTATCTTCAAGACTGCTTGACTTGTCAGTGACAACGCCTTTGCTTTTGGATTGGGTACGCGGAGAAGTACGTAGGCAAGCCATTACTAATGTTCGGTTACAAAAGATTACCATCACACATACGGTTGTTATATACAAACTCATAAGCCATTACACATTAATAACACAGAAACAGAGAGATAGGATGCTAAATAACACAGCAGTTAACCATTGCACATTAATTTTATACTACCACAGGTTCCATAGAAGTTAGTATTGCACATAGTTATGATAGTCATTAATACGTCTACCGTTTCGAAACTACTAACATAGTAACGTGTTCGTACATACTATTGTACATACTACCAATAAACAACCAACATAGTAACGTGTTTGTACATACTGAAACATTTTTTAACGTTACTTACATGCGGAACAACAAAACGACAACGACAATGCATAGCACATACACGATGGTCTTAAGGACACGGAAGGATTGTTGAATGTCTATGACATCAGCCCGCAACTGCATGACAAATTCATCCCTGGGTGACGCGTAGTCTTGGTTTTCTCGCCTGGGTTCATCGCACCAACCAATCCAACTGACACAGGGCTGATGAGTGCAAATTATGGAACTATTAGTTTCATGGGTTGTTAACGAAGGACAGTTATGACCTAAAAGAATGGGTCACTCACCAAAGGGCGGGGGCATGCAAAGTAGGGACGCCCTAGATTTTTGGTGGACCTGGAAATCTTAACAACACAGGGTCCATGTCCACAGGCACTCATTCGTGGCTATGTACTGGAAGTTGCAGTAAATGTAAACGAAGCCATGCTACGATTTACAAACAATAGCGTAATTTTTTTTAAATGTACATGAATGAACAACGAAACGTACAAATCTGAACAAAATAAAACTTTTTGATTCCGATCATGGACACTTAATTATGATAAGGGTATTGTGCATCTCCAATCAGTAGTACATTGGTAGGAGTAGTTACCGACGTACATATGTTATTGTAATTATGCACATTATTATTACTGGAGTTGTAAAATATGTAATTGTAATTATTTTCAGTTGGTTGCCTCAAGTGTTTGACTATACTAAAAAAATATGTATAACATGCAAGATTGACTAAAAAAATATGTATAACATGCAAGATTGTACTTATTTTTAACATTGGAGATCAAAGTATACCACAATTGACATGCACATGGAAAAAGAGCATACTTGTTTGGTAAAAATATTTCGTACCCGGAACTCGTGATTTCATTTTTCCAATTATTACAATTTATGAACTCGTGATTTCATTTTTCCAATTATTACAATTTATGAACTGGTGATTTCATTTGTCCAATTATTACAAGTTATGAACTCGTGATTTCATTATTATTACAATTTATGAATGGGTATATTAAATTTTTTTTAATTTTAGTTAACAAATTAGATTTTTTTAATTTTTTAACAAATTAGATTTAATTTTTTGTTAACAAATCAGATTTAATTTTTTTAATTTATTTAAATAGTGAGTTCAATATCTTTGATATAATTAGATTGACCTCCCATTAAGTAAGATTAAAATGATCAAAACTAACACAAAAATGGTGGGACAAATACTAATAGATAAATAAAAATATTTTTTCTAGCAAAAAAATATGACACTATCATTTTTTCCATTCATACAATTAATAAAAAAAAGGGCTAATTGATATAACAGCATAATTATGTAAAAAATACAGTAATACTATAAACCCTGACTTAACTATGCAGAAATTATCCAGAATTATCATCTAATAGTTCAGATTTATTCTATACATAGATATCACATTATACAAATTCAATCTCAATCACATAATCACCCTTCTGGGTGATTTCGGGATAAGTTTGGTCCGTAGACGTATTCTAAAAAATATAAGACCAATTATGTTAAATGTGTGAAGAGGTTCAGTGTTGGGATTGGATTTCACTCATGGTAGGCCATGTTGTTTTACAATGTGGTGGTCTGAATGGATCAAGAGTAGTAAAGAGGAAAACATATTAATAGCAAAATGAAATTAATTTGATAACCAATATAATTAATTTGATAATGGTCCGTTCAATAGCTATTTGTGGGCTATATGGAGCACTGTCTTTCAGAAGGAAGAAATGCCCTTAGTGCAGACTTTAGGATTGGCAGATGAGCTTCAAAGACAACAGATTAATAGTAAAATGAAATTAATTTGATAACCAATATAATTTAAAAAATGTAAATTAGAATGTGAGTCTTTATTCATGAAGAACAGAATCTGAAAATTCAAAAATAAAATCAGTTCAGACCATCAATACAATGACATACCATCAATTGGAAGAGTTACCAGTTAATCAACATACCATCAGACCATCAGACCATAAAAAATTTTCTACAACGACATACGATCAATACAGGCCAAAATACACTGCGATCTGAAGTGGGGGAAGGAAAAACGTAGAAAAAAATAAAATCAGTTCAGACCATCAATACAATGACATACCATCAATTGGAAGAGTTACCAGTTAATCAACATACCATCAGACCATCAGACCATAAAAAATTTTCTACAACGACATACGATCAATACAGGCCAAAATACACTGCGATCTGAAGTGGGGGAAGGAAAAACGTAGAAAAAAATAAAATCAGTTCAGACCATCAATACAATGACATACCATCAATTGGAAGAGTTACCAGTTAATCAACATACCATCAGACCATCAGACCATAAAAAATTTTCTACAACGACATACGATCAATACAGGCCAAAATACACTGCGATCTGAAGTGGGGGAAGGAAAAACGTAGAAAAAAATAAAATCAGTTCAGACCATCAATACAATGACATACCATCAATTGGAAGAGTTACCAGTTAATCAACATACCATCAGACCATCAGACCATAAAAAATTTTCTACAACGACATACGATCAATACAGGCCAAAATACACTGCGATCTGAAGTGGGGGAAGGAAAAACGTAGAAAAAAATAAAATCATTCCATTCATGAAGCATTGGGCATTAAGATCTACGAAATCAGTTCTGGTTTGGAAGAGTTACCAATTAATCGGTGGTGTATCGAACAGGGTTCGGTCTTCTTCTTCGCCGCTAGAAGCCTATTTCGGTGCCGATTGATCTAGCGAAGCCATATTTTGATGTCGTCGCCGGTGGTTGGGAGAGATCGCCTAGGTCGCTCCTTCCGTGCCCTAGATCCGTTGGCTTGTGTTGTGTGTGCGTGTGGTGCTGCGTATTCCCGAAATGAACAAAGGAAAGAGATGGAGGGTATTTTGGTGAATTTACCCGTATAAGAGTTCCTCTCCAACCCTAGCGTAC